CAGTAATAGTGGGTTAGGGTTGGGTCTGTACCTGTAATGCTAACAGGTACAGACCTGTAATGCTAACAGGTACAGACCTGTAATGCTAACAGGTACAGACCTGTAATGCTAACAGGTACAGACCTGTAATGCTAACAGGTACAGACCTGTAATGCTAACAGGTACAGACCTGTAATGCTAACAGGTACAGACCTGTAATGCTAACAGGTACAGACCTGTAATGCTAACAGGTACAGACCTGTAATGCTAACAGGTCTGTACCTGTTAGCATTAGCAGCACAAGGGTCTGGTGTCTCAGTAAAGTGACAGTGACACATGCGGTTCTCTATTGTACATTCTGACTTCTTACTTGATAATGATACTTTGGTAATTGTCAAAAGTTAGATTTTTTGTCCAGGGCCACATGAAACAAAAGACTGTCACAAAGTTCCATGTCTCTGTCAGAGCATTTCAACTGTGGTCGAACTATTTTGTGCCTAAACATTCTAAATATGTCCGTTGTCTGCAGTAGAAAATATTGATCTGGGAAAACAGAAATAATAAAGTATGGTTCTGGTCAATACAAGACAAATAAATGCGCTGTGGACGGATTGTCATGGTAACGGTCCGAGATCGGAAAATCTCAGACCGGTAAATCAGCCAATCAGAGCGCGCGTACGGTCCAAGTCATATAATAAATGGAGGTTTTTTTTCCCAAATTTCCCAAAGTGAACGGCTGCGATTGTCCTTTTGTAAAGACAAAAAAAGACGATTAATATCATGTATATTTGCACATTTTCTTTCTGAATGTTTCTTTCCCACAGCAGCTGCTCTCTGGAATACAATCATAACTGCGACCTACTGAAAACGGGATGTCGCTGTTGTTATGGCGATATGGGGTATTCACATTTAAAACATTGTCTAAAAACATTTATACAGTAGTCAAGAGTGTAAGGATCTGTTTTAAGAATCTTTATGCAATGATCCAGAAGTCATGATGTTATGGTCACCCGAAGAATAAAGCAAATTACTTTATTAGCTTAAAGGAAGTGATGTATTTTGGGTAGAAAATGATTTAAAGGCTGTAAAAACTCTGATTGTTTCACTTATTCTGTGAACCAACAATAAAATGTGTCATTTTGTTCAACGAGGAGCAGAAAATATGGACCTCTGCTGATTTTTGCAACTTTTCCGTTAAACATTGAATATATTTCTTGGTGTGCAGCCAAAATCACATCAACAGTCGTCTTGAAGGACTCCTCACAAATGATTTACCAACGGCAGATTACAAAATCAAACAATTACAGAAAGATGGTCCAAGAAGATTCTTGTTCACAGAAAATGGGAGAATGGATGAATGTCCTTAAACGCTCCTTCATCAGCAAAAAGAGGTTTAACCGTGAAGAACCCAAACCCCAAATAAAAATATCTGTTCATGAAAAGATATCTGTGCTATTTTGTGGAACTCAGCCTTCAATGACCTAATATGGTAATGTAGCATATTAGCTTCTTTGGGTTCTTAGGTACAGACAATAGTTAATGCATTAGACCAAAAAGTCAGACTTGTTTTGCCAAAACCTTTGAACTATGTGTTGCTACAGGGTTAAAAAACAGAGCAAAAAAAGGACAACCCCGAGAAGAACCACAGTGAAGTGACTCCAGGACTGCCTCGCATTAGTGCGTACATGTATGTACATATGTACATACATATGTATATACATATACATATGTATACATATGTACATATGTACATATGTACATACATGTACATATGTTTATGTATATCTCTGCTCGGACTGACGCAAAATAAAGCAATTTTATGTGTCAGTCAGATCATAGAAGAGATTTCTGTTTATATATGAACTGATTATTCCATCACTGCATCTAAATATTGATGGTGTCTGAGATAATAAATAAAAAACAAGATTATCTTTCTTGTTGCGGCAAGACTCTGTACAATACAATACAAAACAAAACCATTGAAATCACCACAGGTCAGAGAATCAACAGTTAAACACATAAAGAACATAGAACACATGTTGATAAATGTCATACATGTAGAATGTTAAAGTGTCCTGGATCATCACAGTCCTTCTAGTTGGACACTAACTGTCCAACAGACCCTCCTGCATCAGAGGAACAACTCATGGAGACCCATGGTTTGAGAAAGGGATCCGCTCCCACGGCAGACGGGCCGTGTATATAAATGAAGTCCAGCTTAAGCCAAAACGGCGTCTTATGAAAACAATATTAAACAGGCCATATCCGACCAAAAGACTCTGAATTATTTTGGAATAATGGTGTGGAGATTTACAGGACTGAAGATAAACTGCTTGTGAGAGGCACATCATAGCTGCCAGGAGGATAAGTGGCTGAAGCTGCAGCACATACGGCGAACCCCGGGAACTATCCGGACGTTTCCTGCTTTTCACACTTTTCACGCTGTTCTGTCCACTCAAATAAGGCACGTGGGTCATAATAACATTTATATGGAGATGGGTTGCTTTGGTCCTGGTTTAGTTCAACTGAAGTCATTTCTTTGCGGTGGTTTAGTCCAGACCATAGACTGTATATAAATCATAGACCGAGAGCTGACGTCATACCCATAGTGTTAGCCTGAATGCAGAAGAGGCCGATTAGAGCTAGCCCCAAACAGGCTATTTGAGCGGGAATGTGGAACCGAATTTATTTTACCAAGCGGCAATCAGGAGCAGCGCCGGTCTTATTCACTATAGCTAAAGACATCCTGACTCCTGATTGGTCAGATGTTAGGATGCATATCTGGATTTACGAAGACAATATCACAAAACAAACACCAGGATCTCAGGGAGCGCTAAACCATGGATTGTTAAAGCCTGAAATGGTGAGTGTGGTCCAAACGGTTACTGAGCGAGAGGAGTTTACTTCATGAGAGTGGAAGTGTTGGGATATCATTTAAATGAATGTGAATATAATCAGTCTAGACAACTTTTGTTTGACCTACATTGGAGTGTGGAAATCTACCATTGAGGTGTTGAAACCAAGCTAATAATTATCCAGTGTCCACAATTCGGGTGTTTTGTGAAACTATGTTGCAAGACGTTGTCCAACAAGTGATTAATGTTTTACTTTAATGCTTTTTCGTTGTGAGGGTGTGGGTTTTCTGTTCTGAATAAATAATCCGCCTGCAGAGCATCAAGCAGGACTTGGCTTTTGGCTGTGTAGGACGCACAGGACTCCTTACCAGCCGTAAAGACATCTCCTCCTTGTTACATGCAAGTAAAAAACTAATCTCCTGTCTGTTGTGTGCATTTGTCCAGATACTGAAGTAGAACCCATTTTTCAGCCTTGAACAGGAGCCAGAAAGGGTAGAAGCAAAACTTTGCCCATGAGCACTTCCTATATTGTCTATAGTATAAATAGCCAATAGTCCAGACCTGTTTATGTACTGTGTCCAGGTTCAAAATGGCTGAACGGTTTGACCAGAATCCTCAGACTTTTCAGAAAAATAGATAATAGATTGTCTGAAAGAGAACTCACTTTTTAACCTGAAAAAGAGCAACAATATTTGAGAAAAGGCCGAACCAAACGAAGGAAAGAAAAACTCTGAATTTCATTTTGGCCGTTAAACTTTGAAGTTCGAGCTTGACCTTTACTTTGGCAATCCGTGTTTTATAACTTGAAATAATGTCCGTGTCTATGAAAGACATAGTATAGTATTCAAAGCCAGCAGCAAGTTGCCTAAAGGTCAAAAATGAACCAGCCCTCGATATTTAATCCATGTGTTCGCACAGGAGAGGGAAAAGAACATGCAATTTGAACACAAAAAAGTGGGTCTTATAATGACGCAATAATGTGGATGGACTGAGCGTACATTTCCGTATCTTTGCCAACGCCATGTGCTCGGCTGAACTTTAAGCCCTGGCTAAAACATCAAAGATCAAGTGGGCTCTCGCTGGTTGTTTCTCTATCTGCTGTTGCAAATTGAATCCACAACCGAGCCAATTTCAACCATCATCCCGCACAGAACACGCTTCCACGCCATCCCAGCTGAAATTGCTCGTGCGGCGTAGCTAATCACTGAAAAGGGGGATGATCCAACTGGGCTAAGGGAACATTTGGAACAACTCCGACGCATGGTGCTGCTGCTAATCGAGTAAACATCAAAGAGAGTGAATGGGGGCTGATTGGCGTTTTCAGGAGGAGAAGAATCTGATGGCTCTGTTCTTTAATATCTGTTAAAAAAAAAAGGTTGAGGCGTTCCGCAGTCGATGGGAGATGCGATAGTGCTGCAGGAGCCGAGCCGGATATGGAGGCAATTGGTGTTTGCTGTTAATCCAGGGCCATAACTGTAAATATGAAGCTGGTGTGTGTGAGAAAAACACATTTGTTTTGTGGGTAAAACAGTATGTAATGAAAGTGCCACGTGGCTGAAGGTGTGAGAATCTGAATCCTAAATGAATCTATAATAATCTATTTCTAAGCATAAAACATGAGATTACAAATGACGTTATTATGGAGGATATTCTTGTGTCATGAGAAATCTATAAAAGCACATTGACGATATTATATATATTTATAAAAACAGACGAGGAAACGTTCTGTACTCACTGTTTTTACTGTAGAACTTAGAGTTATTTGATCTGATCCTGTAAAAGTCACTCACCGAGACACTGAACTGAGAATGTGTCAGGAAGAAACTGTGTCTGTAGTAAATGTGTTCAAAATATCCAAATCCACTTTGTTCAGCAGTTATTATGAACGGTTTGTGCTGAACATAGATACTTATTAACAATACATTTTCTCACACGTAGAAAATAATAATAAAATAAATAAAAAATAAATAAATAAATAAATAAATAAAATAAATAAAATAAATAAAATAAATAAAATAAATAAAATAAATAAAATAAAATAAACTAATACATAAATAAATAAAATAAGATAAATGACACAAAAAATAAATAATTTTACTAAAAAAGAAAAAAACACAGGACCTCACAACTCAAGTGGTTTCAAAAGCCAGAGACATATTTCACATATTACAGGATGTCATGAAGCACCGTGTGTCGAGCACTTACCCCTCTGGACTGAATCTCGTTCACATAAAGTGGAGACGCAAACTCAGATTTCCCCTCCACACGGATGCCGTCCTGGTCCAACTTCAGGCTGCCCATTCCATCCTGAAAAACAACATAAGAGACCAGACATTACAAGTCAATAAGTCACTTTAAGCCACTTGCACTTGGACTAAAACCCTGCACTACTATTGACACTGTCTCTTTAATTGCCACTTTGTATTGTACATAATACATCCTGAACACATTATATTTTTGCCTTTAATATGTTTCTCCTGTGTGAGATCAATAATCTTTCTCATCTTACCTTATGACACATACATGACATTTGCATACACCCTAAGGCTTCTCTCTTTTTCCCACTGGGTTTTTCTTATTTCCTTGCCCATGTAGGAGGGTCAAAGGACAGTGGTGAGGATCCAGGTCACTCAACGACCTTTATGGACATTTATAAACATTTATGGACATCGGTCATCAGCCCCTTATGGACCAATACCAATGTGTTTTTCATTTCTTGAGTTTGCATTGTCATTGCATTTCTTGAGTTGATTCTCTGACCTGTGTTGACAAATTCCACAGTATTTGTAAAGTCCTCCGAAGTAACTACTATTGCCTACATGCACGACCCAGAAACTGCCTTTCCTGTAGAGACTGGAAGCAGAAACGTGAGTAACATAGCTCCGCAGTCTGCAGCAGAGCGGTGGCCTGGGCTCTGAGTGACAGGGGAGGACTTGGACATGACACTGCGGAGACAGACTGACATCCCTCAAACGACGGGAGGCAGAAGGAGCCGATAATGTGGCTCAAGCCTGCGGAGCTGAGGCCTATATGGAAGTGACAAAAGTGAAATTGGCTTCATCTAATAGGGCAGTGATGCGACTGTATGGGTCTGCTTCGGCTGCAGTGGCCTGGAAAATGTCTGCTATTCAAATGAAATGTAAAATACAGATCTGCAGGGGACTCGGAGCTGGCAGTGAAATTGGGCATTGCCTTTTTTATATAGTGCTCACAAGTTATCAGGAGTTTTGACTGAAGAAATCTGTTTTTAGGGTTCTCTGAAGACCGGCATATTTCTGTGTGTTCTGTGAGTGCCTTTGTGCATTTAGGTGAACAGTTTTGGAGGTTTTTTTTTATTGTTTGTGAAGATTAGTTTATCTAATGCATACAGTAGAAGATTAATGGTATTTGATTGGTATGTGTCACTTTTGTGTGTCTATGTATCACTTTTGTGTGTCTATGTGTCACTTTTGTGTCTCTATATGTCACTTTTGTATGTCTTTGTATCACTTTTTTGTGTCTATGTGTCACTTTTGTGTGTCTATGTGTCACTTTTGTGTGTCTATGTATCACTTTTGTGTGTCTATGTGTCACTTTTGTGTGTCTATGTGTCACTTTTGTGTGTCTATGCCAGATTCAGATTCAGTTTATTTGCCATTTGCAGTAAAACCACATTGGAATACATTAGCAAAAGTCTCCAGTGTGCACAGACAAATACAGACATAAAACAACATTAAAAGACAGAAATAAAACAAATAAAACAGTAAACAAATGTCACTGTGAAATCGATCGACTAAAACAGTTTCAAAACAAGTGCAAATCATTAAAGTGCTCTGTTCACACTGATAACAGCCTGTGGATAAAAACTGTTGGCGTAACGAGATGTCCTGCATCTCAGAGAGCGATATCTTCTGCCAGAGGGAAGAAGCTGGAACATGGCTTTCCCAGGGTGGCCAGAAGAGTCATTGACAATCCTAAGAGCTTTGTTTAAAAGTGTGGATTTATAAAGAACCTCCAGAACAGGAAGCTCACAGCCCACGGTCCTCTTTGCAGAGCGGAGCACCTTGTTTAAAGCTCTCTTTTCTTTATCTGTGATGTTTCCAAACCACACAGACACAGAACCAACAAGTAAACTCTCAATGGTGCAGCCATAAAAGTTAAGCACAATCTTAGAGTTAGTGGTAAATTCTCTAAGTTTACGCAGAAAGTAGAGACGCTGACGAGCTTTCTTAACGACTCGGTCAGTGTTTTTAACCCATTTCAGGTTAGACAGAGTTAAACCCAGAAACTTGCTCCTCTACGATCTGCACCTGGGAGTTGTCGATTACGACAGGCAAATGAGAACTATTGTGACTGAAGTCGTGACCAGTTCACATGTTTTGGATGCGTTCAACTGGAGGTTGTTAGTTTGACTGAACCACATTTTGTATCTCTGCTCTATAAGAGGATTCATCAGTGTCACTGATGAGACCGATGATGGTGGTGTCATCAGCATATTTGATGATCAAGTTTGAGTCAGAGGAGGACACACAATCGTGAGTGGACAAAGTAAAAAGCAAAGGACTCAAAATACATCCCTGAGGATGTATCACTTTTGTATGTCTATGTATCACTTTTGTGTGTCTTTGTATCACTTGTATCACAAAAAAAGTGTCTGTAAAATGTGAAATAACTAACTAACTGTGCAACAATAAAAATAAAAAAGTCTAAATAAACAGATGAATTATGGTGCCTATGTCAAATAAGTGACAATGAGAATATAAAAATACACTGGTGCTTGGCTGAGGACTGATAATGTGTGAAAAACCTCCAGCTATAAAGAATTCAATGTAGGAAACAATGTAATGTTCATGAAATTCCACATACATAAAAATGATTCTGATTCTGATATTTCATTCTTTGAGTTTGAAAGAGACCACTGATGACCACAAGATCTAGAAACATCCCATTTGTGAACCACAGCTGTTTGCAGATTAATGTGAGTGAATTCTGTCGCCTCTGCAGGAAGCTGGACGACCTTATATGTAATTCTCTGTTTGCACAATCCCATAATGCTTTGCACCTGCAGCAGCGTGACGCGGGCTGTGCTGTGGCAGATCATAGATTCATCATCGCTGTTGTTTTGACTGTGAGTAAAGTTTCTGCTGAAGAATAGGAATACATGCAGTACTTAGATACAACCTGGAACTATACTTTTATTATATTATACTTATTATAATTATATAGAAAACAAAATGTACAGTTATTCTAAGAAAGAACTTCACTTAAACTCAGCTCAAACTCAGCTCTGAGCTCTTCTGTCGGTGGCTCTGATCCACAGCGGCGATGAATCTCACTACTCATGACGGCGGTGGATCTCAGTATTCTCACTCTCCCCAGGTGCAAAGCATTATGGGTAATGCAACAGCTTTTATGATTTTTTTTTTTGCTACAGTTTGACGAGTTATTCAATCCATCAAGGGCAGTCGTTTTCCCTTTTTCCCTTTAATTAGACCGTACCATGTTGGGTTTAGTGGAGCCTGGTTTCCCAAAGAACAGATAATATGTATAAAAGTGGTGTTCTTAGTAAAATGATCTTTTTAGTAGAAAATATACAGATAAAAATGACAGTTAGAGATGAATGGAGTGCGCAAAAAGTAGAGTGGTTGGTTCATATCCACAAATAAAGCATTCATTTTCAGCATTGGTCCAGTTAAAGTGGACCAGACCACAGCAGATTCCTGTATCTTGCAACAGAAAAACACAAAATGTGCAGTCGTAGAGTGCATACCCCTGCCAACACCACACTTAATCTGGACGGAGTCTTCTCACCATCACATCCTATCGACACTCCATAATTTGACTCAATCTGTCTAAAGTCGTCAAAACACACATAATCTTAATAATCCATGGGGGGTCATAACTTTGTGTGTGAATGAGAGATATTATTTTGCTCAAAAAAATATGAAAAGAAAAATGTCTCATCCAAAGGACTAGCAGGGACTGAAACCCAGGCCCTACCGTAGTTTAGCCCATTAGAATTAAGGATAGTCAAAAACATAACGTTGTGGACCGTATACACGCTAGTTTGGTTTTTGTATATTATTTTTGAATGTTTTCTCCGAGTCTTTTTTAGTTTAGCTGTTGTAGTTTGTTATTGAGATTCATAATCCGCAACTTTTATTTTGATGGATGTAGCAGGATCAGGGTTTTTGTGGAATTTCGTTACGGCACAATGGCTGAGTGGTTAGCACTCTCGCCTCTCAGCAAGAACATCCTGGGTTCAAATCCCGGTCAGAACAGGGCCTTTCTGAGTGGAGTTTGCATGCTCTCCCTGTGTCTGCGTAGGTTTCCTCCAGGTGCTCTGGTTTCCCCTACCACTAAAAACATGCACAATAGGTGTGAATGTAAATGAGAGAGTGAATGATGGTGTTGGAGCTGATGGTCCAGTGTGTTCTGGACTCGCTTCTGTCATCACCGTGTGTGGAAGGATTGGAACAATATTTGACTGACTCTGAACATTGGAAAGTGCTTTGGGTCTGTACCTTTGGGTCTGTACCTTTGGGTCTGTAACATGTGCTATATAAATAAACAATACTTACTTACTTTCAGGTTACAATCCTATGTACGTCTTGTGTAAATTAGGTAGATTAGTTACCTCACACAAGGCCCTGGTTGTGTCCATAATCATCAAACAGAATCAGTTAAAAGCTAATATCTCAAAGCCGGATGAGTCAGCCCTAACATGACGGTGCATCCTGTTTGGAAATGACCCCATGTTTGGACGATATAATCCACTTTTTGTTTTATTGTTTCAAGAGTCAGCTGCAAAACCAGAGGAGACAGATCCTTCCAGGCAGTTGCTTCCTCAGTCTCTGCGTATCGTAGAGACTGTTGATGATTTTAAGTCCCAACTAAAGACACATTTGTTTGGACAGGCTTTCTCGCACCATTGTTCATAGGCCTCTGTGAATGTAAATTGTGTTTTCTGTGTTTGTTTTATCTGACTTGTGTGTGTATTTTGTATTTTAATGTGTGAAGCGCTTTGTGACCCTGGTCTGTGAAAGGCGCTATATAAATAAACTTTACTTACTTACATACTTACTTACTGCAGGAATAATTCCAATTTAGCTCCAAGGCAGCATTCACTTCAAAGTGACCAGACTCTAATGATATCCCTGACTATTTCTTTCATGTTATCCTCTTGTACGTTCAAAAGCCGGCATCTCCTCTGATTTGTACCTTTGGCCCAAAAACTAGACTTGAATGTTATGGCTTTAGAAGGGACATCAAAGAAGCCGTCCTCTCCATTAGGAAGTCAATGCAGCGATGCTAATTACAGTATTGAT